GAGTCAGAATTCTGGCTTCATCACTCACTGGTTATGAGAACTTGGGAAACTGAAACTTGCAGAGCCTCAGAGTACATATGTGTAGCATTATAATGATAGATAGCACAGTAGCCCCCCACACACACACACACACCCTTATCTGTGGTTTTGCTTTCCATGGTTTCAGTTATCCATAGTCAACCATGGTCGGAAAATATTAAATGGAAAATAAGTTTTAAATTGTATGTAGTGCTAAAATTTCATACCTGGGACATGAGCCATCCCTTTGTACATCCATACTGTATATATTCCCCACCCATCAGTCTCTTAGTAGTCGTCTCAGTTATCACATCGACTGTCAAGGTATCACAGTGCTCATGTAAAAGTAACCCTTATTTAACTTAATAATGGCCTCAAAGCACAAGAGTAGTAATGCTGGCAACTCACATATGCCAAAGAGAAGCTATAACGTGTATGTATGCATAGGAAAAAAAACATAGTATATATAAGGTTCAGACATCCACTGGGGGTCTTGGGATATATACCCCTGGATAAGGCGGAAGGCTACTGTAGTTAAACCTCTCTCATGAGATTATCTTCAAATTAAGGTTATACCTGGTTTGCCCATATAGTGGAATATTATTTGACATAAAAAGGAGTGGAGTGTTGAAATATTCTTCAATATGAATGAACGCTGCAAACATTATGGTAAGTAAAAGAAGCCAGTCCCTGAGACCAAATATTACCCACCAGTATGGCTCAGTGGTTGAGCGTTGACCTATGGTTGAGGTCATGGTTCAATTACCAGTCAGGGCACATCCTCGGGTTGCTGGCTCGATCCCTGGTGGGGGGGCATGCAGGAGGCAGCCGATCAATAATTATCTCTCATCACTGATATTTCTATCTCTCCCTCTCCCTCTCCCTTGCTCTCTGAAATAAAAATATATTCATAAACAAATAAATAAATTTAGGTAATACTTATAAAGTGCTTTCCATGGTACCTGATGCATAGTAAGTAGTCAATAAAATGTAGTTAGTATTATTATAATCATTACTATTATTTTTTATTATTACTATGAGTAAAACAATCACCAAAATTACCCTACAAATCTAAAAACAAAACAAAACACGGTTAGTGAAAGTGAGAGTACGAGAGTAGCAATGATAGGAGGTTGTTGGCAGAGAACAGAATACTGGATTTCCGAAGAGATGACATCCAGACTGTGATCATGGTAGTTTGTGGCTCAAGTGGTGTGAAGGTAAAGGTTATTGTTTGGAGTTGAGGTCAAGGAATTGTGTGGAGGTTATGGTTGGTTATCCACATGATGCCTAATTATGTCTCCAAATGAAGACAGGAAATGAGGTGGAGAGGACAAGTCAGTTGTAAAGAGTCACTAGATGCAGGCGATACTTTTTAATACAGATGAACAGATGAAAATATGGATATAAGCACTACATATTGATATCACTGAAGCAATGTAACATTAAATATTTATAAGACTCCTCCACAAATAGCAAATGTGAAATAAAATAGCCAGCATCCTTTCTTACTCTATAATATCTCCCTCCCACGCACCCAAAAACAGAAGCAGTACTCTTAGTTATTTGACAGGATGGTAGCCCCCCTGAGCTGGTTATTGAGATTCCACTTTCATTCAGATCTCACCTATCCTACCCCCTCACTCCAACCTGGCTTTTGCTTCTTTAAGTACAAAGTCTGATAAGGAGCGGCTCACTTTAGCTTTCATATTTGAAGTAAAGGAAGCTTTATGCAGATTCTGGCGTTTTATGGATTTTCTCTCCCAGTAGGAGAGATTCAAGCCATAGTGACACCTGCCAGTCTAGGAAGAGAGACAGAGTAACCTACAAGGATCTGACTTACTGTAACTTTAAAATCTAAACCATGCCACTTTTTTGTATAACACACCACAATGTTTTTTCCAAAAAATCTTTAAATGTTTTATTAAAGACCAACTATTTTAGAAACCAGAGACACTTAAACCCTGATCTATTCATAGTTTCTGTCAAGCTAAATAAGTTACATCAAATGTCGACACAAGGCGGCCGGAAAGGGGGCCGCCCCCACGCCCTTCACGCAACGCACGTTCGTGGGGAACCTGGCGCTAAACCATAAGTTACATCAAATGGACAAATATAGTACAGAAGACACATATAATAGTATAGAAAGATTTTTAAAATTCACTTCTAGAAAGCAGGTCAGATGGACTCAAAGACTTCACTGAATGTAGGAAGCAACATAAAGCCTTTTGCTGGCGCATAAAGGTAGGAGCCAGTCCATGCAGTCAATAAAAAGTTCTTTTACACGTGGACACGGACAACAGTGTGGTGACTGCCAGGGGGAGGGAGGGGGGGGGAAGTGGAGGAGGGTAAAGGGGAGATCAATGGTGATGGACAGAGACTTGACTTCGGTTGGTGACCATACAATACAATATACAGATGATGTGTTATAGAATTGGACACCTGAAACCTATATAATTTTGTAAACCAGAATCACCCCAATAAATTAAATAAAAGGAAAAAAATTTTGCCTTCTGGTCTAAATGCTTGTTTCTAGTCTGGGTTCAGAGAAAGGTCCTGATCATTTGAACTGGTTGTCAATCAAAGTCCCCTTCATTTTTGCTTTCTTGGCTTCCAGTTCAGCCTGGAGAGAAAGAAAAGCATATGTACTGATACATGACATGAAATTCTTTTTTTCTTTCCTTATTCTAACTGCCCAAACACTATCCCTCCATGCTTATTTAGTATACAAACTAGAATGGTGGTTCTAACGTCCTTATGAATCTCTAGCAACTGCTATGGCACACACAGAAAATTATAATATCTGTATAACAAAATGGGGTAAATACACAAGGCTGCAGTCAATGATAATCAACGTAGAGATATCTCCCAGCCCCAGGACCCCCAATGGACTGAGGAAAATCAATCAATATCGTGGTTCACTAGTATCTTATTCTTGGCATAACAAAAGAAGAACACTGTCCTAGGACAGTGCTACTTAATGTTGTGTGGTCCATGAACTGTCTGTTATTGGTCCATGCAAGATATGTACAAAAATTGAGAGTAAGCATTTAGAAACTTTGATCGCCATTTAACAGAATAATAATAAAATGAAAAAATTTAATAAGAGCCGAGGCAAACTTATTTTATTGCATTTTATAAATTATAAATCTGTTCTTGCAAATTGGAAATTTAAAAAAGATAAAGCACTGGCCTTCACCTCAGAAAATTTGATAAGTACTGCTTTAAACCACATGGCAAGGTAAAGCAGCTACCAAGACCTACCCACCTCTGTCACCAAAAAATCCTCTACAGTCATTAGGATAGATTGGTATAACTTTTAATGAGGCACAAATGAAGTGCTGTCTGATTTTAAAGAAATATAAGTAAATTATTATCAAAAAGAAAAAAAAAATGGAGACACCATCATATATAGGTGTGCATGTTCTATGATGAGCCCATGAATAATACAGAAACTGGTGGTGGTACCAAGGCTTTAAGAAGCAATGACCAGCCTGGCCAATACGGCTCAGTGGTTGAGCTTCAACCCATGCACCAAGAGGTGGCTGGTTCGATTCCCAGTCAGGGCACATGCCCAGGTTGCAGGCTCGATCCCCAGCAGGGGGTGTGCAGGAGGCAGCCGATTGATGTTTCTCTCTCATTGATGTTTCTATCTCTCTTTCCCTTATTCTCTCTCTAAAAATCAATCTATAATAATAAAAGCATAATATGCTGATTGGACTGTACAGCCGGACAACCTTCCGGACGAAGCTGGGGCTACAAGGGCCGAGGCAAGCGCGGCTGTGAGGGCTAAGGCAAGCTACTGCGGCTGCGAGGAATGAGCCTCTTGCATGAATTTTGTGCATCAGGCCTCTAGTGAAAACCTAAAAAACTAAAGAAGCAATGACCAGCCCCAACCCCAGTCCTACCAATGTAACACTACCGTGTGCCATTACATCCTAGGAAAGCATCCATAAACCCTGATCTAACTCCTGACCTTGGACCACAAGTAGCAGAGTAAAATATCATTCTACTTAGGGCTAGCTAACAGGTACTATCATTTAGAGCCTGGATCCTGTGGTCACTACCTCAGAGCAGGGCATACCGACAGTCATAGCCCAGACAGAGTTAGACACCTGGCAGCCGGCTACACTAGTAACCCCTGGCAGACTTCCTGAAAGATTTCCCTGACTGCCAGAGGATCTTCCCAACCAAGAGACCCAAACAGTCCAGCCCAGCACCTTGCTGCTACATGCCACTCACCAGCTCTTGCAGCCGCCTTTTGCTCATGCCTTTGCGCTCCAACTGTTTTTCAATCACTTTGGCATTCTGTGCATACGAGTCAGCAACTTCCCGCTGAGGGGAAAAAAGAAGCATCCTTAAAGCAGCAGTCACGCCAATGAGTAACAACAGAGACCTTAAGTAGCAATTTATACCATTCAAATTATGAAATTATCACTGAAATGGTATGGCTGTTCCATTTCAACTCTTCAGTAATCTAGAAGAGTTCAGGTTTCAACTGAAACGATTAAAAAATAATAGATAACATCTCTCCCTCTGTAAACATCATTATACTGAAGTACCATAAAGGTAATTGCTGCTACTGCTAAGGGCAGACTCAGAAACCATCAGAGCTGGACTAGAAGGGACCCGAAATCGTTGTAATATTTAAACTGAAGAGGGATGAGGGATTTGCCCCCTAGGGCATCTCAAAAACACAATATTTTTTAAAAAAATCACTGATTTAGTCCAACTCCCTGGCTCTCATTTTACAGATGGTGCTGGGGATCCAGGGACACAGGAACTAGCCGGCATCACAGTTGCTTACTGGCAGAGCAAGGTCTATGAGCAGACTCTAATTATTCTGCTACTGGGATGCTGTAGTTCTAGAGCCCCTTTCCTTCCATACCCCCCCCCCCCCACCCAATTCCCTTGAGAGCAGAAGCACTTACAGCTTCAATCTCCTCTTCCTCTTCATCAATAGTGGACACAGTGACAGAGCTGAACTTGCCCATGTCTTTAGTCCGTTTGGTCATCATCACCTGGAGTAGCAGAAGAGAAATCAGTGTAGATACAGCAAGAGGCTCTGTGAGCCGTGTGTGTGTGTGTGTGTGTGTGTGTGTGTGTGTGTGTGCGCGCGCGCGCACATGCAGGTGCACATGTATCTGGGTGCTGGGGAATGTAGTTTTGGGGAGTGGACACCCACCTCTTTGAAACAAGGTGGCCTATCTAAAAGTGCCAATGTGTTTATTTGCATTACAGTTTTCTAACATTTTCCATCAAGGGTTTTTAAAGTATATTTAAAAATTAGCCTGATTCGGCCCATTTGTAATTTTTTTCACTGGAAAAAGTAGAAATGTGGAAGGAAATAAATGTGAATAAAAACAATAGAATTTCTAATTTTACTCATAGGGCAGCTGTAGGAAAGAAAAAAGAACACAATATTATGCACAAAAATGGCGTTCTCTTAATAAAGAATGCTTTCATAAAGGATAATTTCTTGCACAATATAGTCTTAATTTAAAATT